CCTCCTTTGCTCCGTTTTCTGAAAGTTGGTGTCTTTTTTTCGTAGCAGTAACTGTAATGTGCTCTAGAGATATAGGTAACCCACTTGATTTCTTCCTTTTTGATCCCGTTTTTCATTCTTTATTTTCCTTCTTGGGTTAAAATAGCTTTACTTGGAAGTATACAATTGTGCAACTGATTATTATCAGTGTACGGATGTACATCTGAACTTGTGAAGAAGGTGGAAATAAAACTCAGCAATCCTGTCACGTTAATTAGGAAAGTAGACCCTTCCCTTTCTATAGCACATATAGAAAACATTTAATGTACTGAATATACAGCAGAAATTCACAAAAAGAGTGAAAATAACAAGAGAAAACTCCAGTGTGAAGTTTTTGAGCACTGTAGCTCTCAAAGATAAAACTGTTCAGTCCTTAAACTGGATAATATTTTAATGTTAATATTCAAATTCAAAGTCTTCTTTTAAGGCTGTAGTCCTAATACACTTGTTCCCATTTAATCAAGCTAGAAATAGGCCTCACTTCCGCTACATTCCAGTCCTTTTTGTAAACCTGGCAGCTGAATATAATAAATAAATGAAAAAAAAAGGGGCAGGGGGTTAGTAGTAATCTCATCCATCAGCTGAACTGTTCCTGATATTCTCTTGGCATCTTGACCAAAAAAAAGCACCAAAAAAAAAAAACAAAAGAAAAGAAAGAAAGAAGGAAATAGAAAGGTTATTGAGAGGTAAATAACAAAATGCCAAAGAGCTTTTTCCCAAGAAACCATCTGCTCCAATCACCACAAAATTGTGCAAGCGTTGTGTTTTACTTCTTAATGCCTGAGGGGAGTTTTTTGCCAATATTTCCAAGCCAACTTACAGGCCAAATGAGCAATCAACAGATTGATAGCTGCAGCCTCTGGAGCAATGATTTGGCTAGTGGGATATATGTCTGATCAATGAGGAACTCTGGGAGGTGCAAGTAGAGGTTTTGAGTGATTATGGTAATAGTGAAACTGCCCAGAAGGTGTGACAAACAAACCATGAATATTGAAATACACCAAGGCATAACTATACCTTTACTGAGAGAGGCTGCCTCAATGAGTATCTGCACATTGTCGGCAGAACTATAAAGTTGCTGATTTTGCAGACATTTCTTCCTCAGCTTGATAAGTTAATATATATTGTTTAACATGATAATGTAGCAAGCTGTTGTTTTGTGGTTTGAAAGCCAGCTGCATTTGATTGATGCCAGGAATGGAAGTATTTATAAAATGACACTGAATTAGAAGTAGTCAGTTTATGGGTCTGGGGAAATGAATCTTTTATGAAGAATAAAACTTTATGATGAAGGAGTAATACTGAGGAAGTGTGCATCTTGAATTAAACTCTTTTGGACCAGATGCATACCGTAGAGCCTCTTAAAATAAAAATTTTTGTCACTGTATTTTTAGGAAAGAGATCTCTGTAAACATTATCTTTTGTGATGGTCCAATCCCAAATGTATGGTCATGTGTGTTCTCTCTGTGAACACATCAACTAGGATAGGAAAGTTTTTCCCTGGAAATATAGATAGCAGACTTCTCCAAAAGATCCCTGGAATATATTTTAGCTGCTGCTTTAAAGCTGTTGTGATTTTTGAGGCATCAACCACAAATACTAGCCCATTCTTGCTTTTTGTATATGTGGGCGTTTTTGTTTATTTTGTTTTAATGGAATAGAATATAGAGTGAGTTCTAGTGTGCTTTGAAATGAATGGACAGCCTTGAACTCTGGTTAGTTTGCAAACCTGCTTGTAAGCACAAGAGCATAAAGGATATGTTTCTGAGGATAAGCCATTCTCAGCATGGCCGCAGAAGCCTAGCACCAACTTGCAACTCAGTGCAAGGGCTTCCCTTTTGTTTTCAGCTGCAGTATTCAGCAGCTCCTCTGGTTGTTGTAGAGATGCGAGCATAGAGGTGATGTTTAAAGAGGTGTAGTTTTCTGTATTGATGTTCACGAACAGAAAACAGGTACAACCTTACATAGACTGTACTAATGCATAATGACATCTAAAGACAACCCCAAATTTTATATGCATTTTTACATCTGTTATATGAACTTGTGAGAACAGAATAACTTTTACTTAAATGTAAATGTGGCTTTGATGGTACCTAGAAACCGATGTCTCAAAACTTTTGACAAAAGCAACATAGAAACAAATTGATCCAGTTCTCTACAGCTCTCCTCTTGGAGCTAGCATCTCTATGCAAAATGAATGTAAAATTCTGCTCTTCTGAGTTGCTGGAATTTCTTATCTGTATGCACCAGAGGAATGATTGCACAGAACAAGATAATGTCCAGTGAGTTGGAAGGTTAAAGAGCTGCAGCTGGCAAATCAGAATCAGATTCAGCCATTGTATTAAGCCAGTTTTATGCCAGAGTAACTTGAGATTGGGGATATACATCAGATAGATCTTAAAATCTACACGTGGCTTCCACAGTCTTATAATCAGAAATATTTCAGGAGAACTGTCTAAGACAACTATATAAACAGGATTTCTACCTGATTATATGTTTTAATCAGTTCAGCTCATCTAATAGATTAATAATTGTAACAACTGTATATTTATTTAAAATATAGTCTAATGTGCTTGAGTATAGCATCTTATTATATTGCATTTTTCAGCAGAGTTGCGTACTGAAACCCACTGAATTTCACTTGTACTTGGGCACTCTTTAGGATCCCTTGAAGATTTGTCTTAATTCTTATTTATTTCACTGAAGTCTTGTGACTTAGGAGATCTTCGTGAAACTCATTGTCTAATATAAATAATCTTCTCGGAATGCGATAAATATCTAAAAATAGCACAGTGTGTTGTACTTGTGAAAAGAGGGTGAATCTTTATTCTTCAAAACAGAAAGCTGATCTTTTTTCTTTTTTCTTCTGAAGAAGTCTCAAACAAAGTAGGTGAAAATATCAGGGCTAGGATCATCTTGTAATATTGGAAAACATGGCATGGCATCCAGTGGTAAGCTTCTTTTTGAGTTGTCTGACCTTTAATCACCGGTGAATAAAACCAACATGCTGTCAGATCTCTGTTATTTTTCTCAAGGGGGTAACTCTGCCTGAAGTAGCAACGAAGCAAAACCTTTGAGAGCTTATATTCAAGGTCACTACAACCAGAAGCAATGCTTTGTACTCTGGGAAGTACAGCAAAAGAATAAAAGAAGAAACATATCTAACCAAGCCAGTTGCGTTTGTTTAACAGTGAACCAGGCAGTTGTTATGTCAGCCTATAAATGAAGCTGGGTTTGTTTTTACTTTTACCACAGTATTTCATTTTTATTTGATTTTTAAGTGATCTGTGCTTCAAGACCTTCACAAAGAATATAAACTCACTGTTTATCATTGTATACATGAATGACACATATTTTTGTTCTGCAGGCACATCCAATGTAATGTCTTAGGCCTTGTCTGTACCAGAAGGTTTTAATCACTTGTAGTTATTTTGCCACAAAAAGCTATGTGGATACTGAGAACAGAACATATGGTCTTACAGATCTGTTAAGAAATGAAAATGTTGTATTTGAAATGTTTTTATCATGATATTTTAAAATAATACTTGCCCACTGAAAGTCTATGAGGGAAAAGAAAGGGTTATCCACCACATAAGAATTAATCTTTAACAAGGAATTATAGCTAACTTTGACATTGTCGTTCACGCAACAGAAAATATGGTTTCAGTCCTAAGCTACTTAAACGTTAATTTTATAGTTGATGTTAATTGGATAGTTGATGGAATTTGATAAATTGTTTTAGTTGGGATTTGAGGCAAAAGAATGGATACCTTCCTAGATTCCTTGTTTGTATAAAGTTTGCTAATACCTTTTGCATTAATTTGTTACTTAACTTTGATTCACCATTGAAACTAGTTTGTTGATTTGATCACTACTTTTTTACTTGGTAGGATTTTATTCTTTCTTTGAGTCAGTATTACCAGAAATACTTTAGTTTTGGTGTGATGATATATTACTTTTAGTTAGATTTTTTTTAAAATAATGCTTACATTTATACCTATAAATGAACTGATTAAGAAATTATAATGGTCTAGGGGTGAATATCTCATGGTTCAGCCCAGGTGGCTAATTACTTCCTTTCTTTCATTCTCAATGTACTGCACAAAGCAAATAAAAGAATGCTATGACAGAATTTTGTAGGCTATGTCAGTCTCTGGTGTGCCTGTCTAAGGGAGAGGAAAAGACTTGATCCTGTGATGCAGGAGCATGTGTTCCACTAGCTAAGTAGAGAATTGGCACCATCTCAGTCCTCCCTGTATTAACTGTGATGTAGAAGAAGAGTGAGGTTTTTCCTCTGTACATCATTTAGGAATTTGTGCAGTCAACGGTGTTTACCTTATTGCACTCTATAGCAGAACTGTATGCTGTAGGATTTGCATGCTAAAAAAGCCTTCATCACTCAAAGGATAGCCTGGCAATAGAGGTGGGGGTTGAGGCTGATACATTAAGCCCATAAATTTGTACAAATTGAAATTACAATAACATAGGCTTTAATCATTACAAAAATTTTTCTTGACAGAAATTATAATGGCCAATCAATTCTGAAACTGTGCAAGATTTTGAAATGAAAACAGAGACATTTCTCTTATTTCAGCATTTTCATCTTCATCATAAATATCCTGTAGACTTTCTACCTCTAGAATTTAAAGTGAAGAAGATACATCTGTAGTTCATTTAGTGAAATGCACTTAATATGGATGGCAACGAAGCATAAAAATATGGGGAACTTATGTTAGAGTCATATGTCTGTTGCAAACCATAAATGCTAGTCTTTTGTTGTTGGCTCAGTAGCAAGTAAAAATAATACAAGCACAAGTACAGACTAAATATCAGGTGAAACTACTTTGTGGTCTTGATGAGATAATTATGGATTGTACCCACCTGTTTCTCACATGTGAAGGCAGTATAATTTTACATGTTATTGCTAACTGCATTCTGTTGTCTGTCCACCTTTCCCTTAGGAACGACTGTGATGCGTATGACAGCATTTGATGCTGATGACTCTAGCACAGACAATGCTCTTCTGCGATATAACATCCTCAAACAGACACCTACCAAACCATCTCCAAATATGTTCTATATTGACCCAGAAAAGGGAGATATCGTTACAGTGGTGTCGCCTGTACTGTTGGATCGTGAGGTAAGTGAACATGTTTCTATCACCAGTCTGACATTTTAATGTTTGTGCCTATAATCTTCTGTGGTGTGAAAAGAGGTTCAGAGTATTGCGGGGGTAGGGATTCAGATGTTCAACTTTGAGGAGGTTGTTAAGAGTTTTGTTTATTTCTTATTTGGGCATAAGAAGTTATACGCTCTGATCAATATTTATAAATCTAGTAGTTCATAATTTCTGGGCAAGACATTTAGTATTGGATGGTGAGAGCAAAGATCTGAGGAAGAAGTGGAATTCAACTTGGAGTTACCAACTGACTGGAAGTAAAAAAAAAACCAAACAACAAAACCCTAACTGTGGATATAGGTTGCTATGAGATTGTTACAGTTTGGTGCTTTAAATCCTTTTCTAGAATTTCCTTTTTATTGAGTGGACTTAATGGACTAATTAACTTGGTACCCCATAGGCAAAAAGTGAAAATACAAAAAAGGAATAATAAAGGGACAGGTAGCCTGCATGTGGTTTCAAGGTGAATTACCATAGTGGCAAAATCTATGTTTGTTATACATCATTAACATTGTGAGAGCATCAATTGATAGCAAAGAAAGCTTAGGTATGATCATTTCATGTTCAGAAGATAGTAAATTAGAGCCAATCTGTTAAAACAAAGGCTTCGTTATCAGAATATATGAGATCTGGGCACCAATACAATGATGACCTAAACAGTTACTGTATAAATCACCATTTCCTTTGATTACATAGCCCTGTATGCTCTTAGGCTTCTGGAGATGACCAAGTTCTTTTCTTGCAAGCTGTTTCAGGTATGTGCTGATCTACTGAACTTGTCTTCTAAGTTGGTTAGATTCAGGACTGTGCAATGTTCTCAATATTCAGCACGTTATTTCTCATTTTAACCAGATGAAAATGATGCCCATACCACTTCCCATTTTAGGTGAGTCGTTTTTCTGCAGGCTTTTCCAACAGCAGATATTTAATGGGTAAACCAGACACATAATCCAGACACATAGTGCAGTAAAACTAAGGTCTGGGCCTGTAGATCTGTCTATTAAGTTTAGAGAGTTTCCAATTCTTTCATACTTGTGTGGCTGGCCCCAGAATCATGACCAAGTTAAGATTTATATAATCACTACCTTTTTGCCTCAAGTTTCCCTTCTAAATTCATTGTTTCAGTTCAAAAGCTTTATACTGTTTTCTAAAGTCAGTTTAGGTATTTTTATTCCTAATAGATAACCGTTCCCCAGATTAAACCAATTTACTCAAAATTAGAAAATCAATGGAAGGGAATGAACATGCCTGCTTTTCCTAGTATCTTCCAAAGGTCACTGGTGATTCATGAAATAATGATGTTGTCTCCATATAAGAAGGCCGGCCTCAATCGAACGAGTATTACAGCTGGGTAGTATATCCTGAAAGCAAGATCTGAATTCCTCATGATTTTTAATAATTGTCAATTCAATACCTTTACTTTGAAGGTGACATGGCAAGCTGCAGTCTTGTTGAAACAGCAAAGTAATTTTTGTTGTTGCTGCAAATGCTATATGTTTTATGAGCCAAAACATAGAGCTGTGTGAAATTTTAACACTAAAAGCAAGCATTATCTACAGTTAAAGTCCAGTCTAATATTGTCTTGGCAGGTGAGATGCTTGGGAAAAAGTATGTTTTCCATTTCTTCACAAAATGCTCTGTGTTGTACTCTCCGTCATCTTTGTGGGTTCAGCCTCTTCTCCCCCTTCCAGCTTATGTATGTCTTGTGTAGAAACTGGTAGTCGTGCCTCCTTTTTTAGATCTGTGGAGCTAGCCATTCATGGTCAAAGATGTACGACTTCTATTTTTAACCATAATAGCAGCTTTTGGGGACAAGCAGCCTAATGATCCTATTCTGAAAAATTCTAGGTATGAACATAATCTTGATACTATATAAATAACTCTTACGTATTTCTATGTAGCTCATGAGATTGAATTATTGTAAAAGAATTGTCTGCCTCAGGTAGAGAGGGACAGGAGTAACATCTGGAGGAGGAAATGTCTGTCTAGCTGCTGCTTAGGGAATAAGGTATCTGCATATCACCAGGCTTGAAGAAGTGACTTTCAGGATGCTGGAAAGTTGGTGGGCAGGAGGGAGTACTATTTGCCACTCCTCTGTAGGATATCAGCTGATATTTGTGCTTTATTGTTATGATATTTTCTCTGGTGAACCTTTGTAGATCTTAAATGTTTTGGTTATTTATCACAATCTTCTATGAAGTGCATTGTAGAAACGTGGAACAAAGAAACAATCTTTCCCCTGAAAGCCTTGCTAGTAGGTGTGTAACATCAGAGAACAAAAAATGTATATAGAGGCATTTGAGCGATGGTTGGACAAAGACCGCATGAAACAGTATTTGTGAACAGGAGAGAGGAACGCTTTTACCTTCTGAGTTCTTACCTTTCTTTTGTTGGCATCCCAGTGGAGAATGTATTATAGTAGACATGCATAGGGAACAGCAAGGTTTTTTGTCAATGTTTTCCATTGCTTGGAAAAGAGAATCGATGTTGAACAACTCAGTTCATCCTTTTTGATGGGTCAGCGGTATTTGCAGGTAACTGGGTGTAGGTCATGAAGATACACACGGTATTTGTGTGGCGGGGGTGTGGGTGCATTCCACAGCTCCAGAAACTGCAAAAATTGGTCCTGGTGAATCTGATTATTCATGACTGCCAATTCAAACGAGCAGCTTATCCTAGATTTTACTTAAACTTTAAATTGGGTCAATTGCCTGTGATTTTTCTGTCTTTTGTTAGCTCTATTTTCTATTTGAATCTTAAAAGTGAGTACCAGTCAAAAGTGGGTTATTCTTAGTTGTTCCTTGTAGGTGTACTGTTTAAAACTGTATTAGCCCTAGACACCAATTAAGAAGCTGAATTAAAGTAAAAATTTCTGTGGGATGGACATGGAGAAGGGAGAAAACTATTTCTCCTTAATAATATGTATATGCGCCAGAGGTTGATATGAACTCTTTTAAAGTATGTTAAAACACTGATTAAAATTACTCATATTTGCCACCTCTTTTAGTAAGTTTGGATCTTGATGCTCTTGGGAAACTTTCCATTTCATTTAAGACAAACTAAAGGAATATAAATTGTTTGGGGTTTAGTTTTGGTCTTTTTTTTAATTTTAAGTATCATTTATTTTGTGTTTGTGCACCAGAGGGCACAGGAGACTTGGGTGTATTGCCCAGTGGGATGTGGAGATACAAAGAATCTGGCAGGTTTTGCACATACTGTATAGTCCATATTATTTTTCCATGCTTCAAGATTTTCAGAAAAGTTGCTTTGGCATAGCCTCAGAAATTCTTATTTCAGTGCAAAGAATCAAAATACAGGTATTTACCCTAAAGTAAAATAACGTTTGGCCATCTAGAGAGCTCATTTTTTGTATTCAATTGAATATATGTGGGAGAGTCTTAGTGTGCATAAGTAAACATCTAGGTTAATAATTTTAAGGAGATGAAAATCGAATGAAACATTTTTTTCTTTTAGAATTAAAGGTAAATTCTAAATTGGCACTTTTAAAATAACACAAAATTTAAAAGAAAGGAAGAAGGGAAAGAATTAACTTTTTTCTGGTGAACCTCAACTGTGCATCTGCTTGTTCTTTTAGCTACATGGATCGTCTCAAAATGAATACAATTTTGTTAAATTCCTACAAGCCTTCAAAATTTCTGTGACTGGCATTTATTTGGTCTCTTGCTAAATTGAGAGTATGGATAAGGGAGTACTCCCTGGTGTGTTAGGTGACCTCTCTTTCAAAGGCTATTCCAAACCTCTTCTGTGCATAAGGCAGCAGAAGGAATATGTAATGTGAAAGGCATCACTCTCTCTTTAGGGTTGTTTTCTTTCTCGCACTATCTTGAAACAGAAAGGTCGTCTTGGGTCTTTTCTTTGGGTTGCCTGTCTGCTTTCAGATCCCCAACCTAGATTTTTTTTTTTTTTTTTTTTAACTTTGGTACTAATTGAATGGGTGTTTGATTTAGCATGGATGGGTGACAGTGTGTGCTTTGGAGCTATTTCTGTGGTATAGTATCACCTACAAAAGCATTAAGCAAAAAAGTCATTCTCTCCAGTATGCAGAAAAAGCATATGTATGAATCCCACAGATTACATCCAGCAAACTGCTAAGTGCTTTTGATTTCCATTGACATCTGCTGAGGGAAGCTGAGTGCTTCATGCCTCCAAGGAAAGACTTAGCACCATGCAGGATTTGTATGGCCTGAATCTACCAGCATATTTTTATTAATAAATTTTTCAGATTCAAAATTGTTTCCAAAAGTGCATGATCCTCAGGGTTTGCAGCAAAACTCAGATAATTTCTCAAAGAACATCCATTTTCATTTTCAGAAGCAGGTAAGGACATATTTTTGAAGATTAATGTGTTTTTTTTTCTTGTGGGAGTTAGGCATCCTTGAATGTGTCAGCAATAAAGATTGAAGAGTGTTAGGGGGCAAATTATACCTCCAGATATCCATTGGAGAATACATTTTGATTCATAAATTCAGAGAAGAAGGATGCCCTCCATTAAAGTGTATGGTCTAAATGACCTGAAATAGAGCACAACAGGAAAAAAAAGGGGGTGGGGGGAGAAGAAAAAGAAAAAAAGAGGAAAGAAACCTTGAGGAAATGTCCTGAATTTTGTATTTCAGGGATGGAGAGTCCATTTCAAAGTGACACTTCCCTGCAGTGAAAGAAAAATGATGCTCCTCATGTGCATAGGAGGAGAGAATTCTTGTAGTCTTGTAGAATCAACTCTTAAATTTCCTTTATGGATCAGTAATCAGTTTTTCTGCTTACTCATAATGCTATTTTGCCAGTGTTACAGACCCCCCTGCTCTGCAGGAAAGTACCTGTATGATTTGTATAAGTCTTATATGACTAAAGTACTATAAGAAAGCTGCCACCACAGTTGCTTCAGTGAAATATTTACTTCTCGCAGTTTGAGGAGTAATATGCTTTTGATAGGAACTGCTGTG